GCTAAGGGAGTTTATCATTACCAAGCCAGCAATGCAAGAAATGCTGAAGGGGATGCTGTAAAAAGAAGAAATAGAAAGGGAGGAAGGAACACAGGCATAAAGTACAGAGTGGTTAGGGGTGATCAAGCAGGCAGGTGAGTGGTTGGGGAGATCAGGCAGAAGCATTAGGTGTGATCAGGCAGGCAGGTGAGTGGTTAGGGGCAATCAGGCAGGCAGGTGAGTGGTTAGGAGCAATCAAGCAGGCAGGTGAGTGGTTAAGGGCCATCAGGCAATCAGGCAGAGGCATTAGGGGAAATTAGGCAGGCAGGCAAGTGGTTAGGGGCAATCAGACAGGCAGGCAGAGAGCTTAAGGGTGATCAGGCAGGCAGGTGAGTGGTTATGAGCAATCAAGCAGGTCGTTAAGGGTGATTAGGCAGCAGGTGAGTAGTTAGGAGCCAACAGTCCCAGATTGAAAAGGGATGTCCTAATGCCAATTTAGGCCCAATCCACAGGGATCTCTGCAGGATAGGGCCTAAACTGGCAGTCAGACATCCCTCAAGGTTCCTGGATTGTGAAAGGGTGCTAGCCAGGATGAGGGATTCCTCCCTGCACGCCCCCCAACACGAATTTCATGCACCAGGCCTCTAGTCAATAATAACATTAAATGTAAGTGGATTAAGTGCTTCAATCAAAAGATATTCAGAGACTGAATTGATAAGAAAACATGACCCATATATATATATATATATATATATATATATATATATATATATATATATATATATATATATATACTGTCTAGAAGAGACCCATCTCAGAACAAGGGACTCACACAGACTAAATATGAAGGCATAGAAAAATATCTTTTAGGCAAATGGAAATGAAAAAAAAAACTGGGGTAGCAATACTTATATATGACAAAATAGACCTCAAAGTGAAGACATAACAAGAGATAAAGAAGGCCACTTAATAATTGTAAAGCAATCTATACAACAAGAAGATATAACTCTGGTAAACATATATGCACCCAATGTAGGAGCACCCAAATACATAAAAAAAACTTCTGGAAGATATCAGGGGAGAGATTGACAGCAATACAATCATAGTGGGGGACTTTAATACTCCATTAAGTTCACTGGATAAGTCCTCTAGACAAAAAATAATAATAATAATCAAAGAAACAGCAATACTAAATGACTCACTAGGTCAGATGGATTTAATCGACATCTTTAGAACATTCCACCCCAAAAATACAGAATACACATTCTGTTCAAGCACACATGGGACGTTTTCAAAGATAGACCACATATAGGGACACAGGCAAAGTCTCCCCAAATTCAAGAATTGAAATCATATCAAGCATCTTCTCAGGTCATATGGCATAAAATTAGAAATCAACTACAATAAAAACAATCACAAAAATACAAACACTTGGAGGCTGAATAGCATGCTATTAAACAATAAGTGGGTTACCAAAGAGATCAAAGAAGAAATTAAAAACATCTTAGAAACAAACAACAATAAAAACACAACAATCCAAAATCTTTGGGACACAGTGACAGCAGTCCTGAGAGGGAAGTTCATAGCATTGCAGGCCTATATATAAAAAATAAAAAAAAAGAAAGACAGAAAAGAAAAACTGGTAATAAACCATCTAACTCTGCAACTTGAAGAATTGGAAAGAGAGCAACAAGAAAAATCCAGAGTGAACAGAAAGACGGAAATAATAAAGATCAGAGCAGAAATAAATGACATAGAGACAAAAAAAAAATACAAAAGATCGATGAAACCAAGAGAATATCCTTTGAAAAGATAAACAATATTGATGAACCTCTAGCCAGGTTCACCAATAAACAAAGAAAGAGGACCCAGATAAACAAAATCAGAAATGAAAGAGGTGGCCGAAACCGGTTCGGCTCAGCAGTAGAGCATTGGTCTGCAGACTGAAAGGTCCCAGGTTCGATTCTGGTCAAGGGCATGTACGTTGGTTGCAGGCACATCCCCTGTAGGGGGTGTGCAAGAGGCAGCTGGTCGATGTTTCTCTCTCATCGACGTTTCTAGCTCTCTATCTCTCTCCCTTCCTCTCTGTGAAAAATCAATAAAATGTATTTAAAAAAATGAAAGAGGTGAAGTAATAACTGACCCCCCAGAAATATGAATAATCATAAAATAAAATAACATAAAATAAAATACTATGAGCAACTCTACTCCAACAAACTGGTCAATAATCTAAAAGAAATGGACATATTTCTAGAAAAATATGACCTTCCAAAACTCAACCACGAGGAATAAAAAATCTGAGTAGGCCAATAACTATGGAGGAATTTGAAGCAGCAATCCAAAAACTTCCAACAAAAGCCCTGGACCAGATGGCTTTACAGGGGAGTTTTATCAAACATTCAAAAAATAAATAAAACCTATCTTTCTCAGACTCTTCTAAAAAAAAAAATCAAGAGGAAGGAACACTTCCAAGATCTTTCTATAATGCCAGCATTACCCTAATGGAAATTAGTTAAGCACTCTGAAAGTGTTTTTACTCTGAATGTGGTGTACAGGGAGATATTAGAATAAGTTTAATCAATTTATCAGTCATTGTTTTTATCAATGTTGTTTTTATATCATGTTTTTGTTGTTTTTATATCATGTTTTTATTGTATAATATCATGTTTTGTTTTTATATGTCTTTGTTGTTATATCATGTTGTTGTTTACTTAATTTTTCAATTAAGTAATTGATAATTAATCAATTTATCAATTATTGCTTTTATCAATGTTGTTTTTATATCATATTTTTGTTATTTTTATATGTCTTTGTTGTGTTTTTTTAATATATATTATATTGATTTTTACAGAGAGAAAGAGAGAGGAATAGAGAGTTAGAAACGTCAATGAGAGAGAATCATCAATCATCTGCCTCTTACACACACTCTACTGGGGATGTGCCCGCAACCAAGGTACATGCCCTTGACCTTTCAGTCCACAGGCCGACGTTCTATCCACTGAGGCAAACCGGTTTCAGCGTATTTGTTGTTTTTATAGCATGTTGTTATTGTTTATTTATTAATCAATTTATATATTACAGTATTTTCATATACATTTTAGTAATTTTCTTTCACCTCTATAAGTAATTTTCTTTCACTTCTATTATAGAGAAAGGGAGAATAGCTCTATTAAAATATTTTGTATTTTAATTTTATAATACTATATTACATATACTATTTTGACATGTAATTTTTTGCAGTAACTTAATTACCACAAGAATATTTCTTCTGCCCATTCAAGCGTAATACAGAAACCCTCCTACCTGAGACACTTCTGATACTCGTAGCCAATTGGCTTGGAGATGAACGCTTCCCAGTGATACCAACAACAAGCAAGGCTTAACAACAAGCCTGCACACACAGCCCACAAAGGGCTACACCAAGACTGTCCACCTCAGGTAACTGGGAGGCTGACTCACTGAACCATATAGGACACTTTAGCACACAAAGTCACCCTACCAACTCATAGAAGCTGTGAAAATGCCGAGACAAGGAAATAGATCCCAAACAAAAGAAATGGAGGAAAAGAAGAGACTGGATATAGAGTTCAAAACCACGCTTATAAAGTTTTTCAAGAATTTCCTAGAAAATGTGGATAAGACTTATGAGGAGATGAAAAGGGATCAACAAGAAATGATAAGGGATCAACAAGAAATAAAGAATACATTGTCTGAAATAAAAAATATTATACAGAGTCCTAAAAACAGAATGGAAGATCGCAAGAATCAAGTCAAAGATTCGGAACATAAAGAGCCAGAAGACACTCCTCTGCAGAAGCAAGAAGATAAGAGAATCCAGAAAGTTGAAGATAATGTAAGAAACCTCTGGGACAACTTCAAGCGAACCAACATCAGAATTATGGGGGTCCCAGAACATGAGAGAGAGCAAGATAGTGAAAGAAATAGTGACAGAAAACTTCCCCCACCTAGTGAAAGAATTAGACTTACAAGTCCAGGAAGCGCACAGAACTCCAAACAAAAGGAATCCAAAGAGGACCACACCAAGACACATCATAATTAAAATTCCAAGAGCAAAAGACAAAGAGAGAATATTAAAAGCAGCAAGAGCAAAGCAGGTAGTTACCTATAAAGGAGCACCCATATGATTGTCAGCTGATTTCTCAACAGAAACCATGCAGGCCAGACGGGAATGGCAAGAAATATTCAAGGTGGTGAATAGCAAGAACTTACAGCTAAAATACTCTACCCAGCAAAGCTATCACTCAGAATCGAAGGCCAGATAAGGAGCTTCACTAATAATAATTTTTTAAAAAGCTAAAGGAGTTCATCACCACCAAACTAGAATTATATGAATTGCTGAAGGGGATTCTTTCGGAAGAGAAAGTAAATAATGATAAAAACTATGAACAACAAATATGTAACTATCAACAAATGAATCTAAAAACCAAGGGAATTTTAATAATCTGATGAACAATATTAACTGTTGAATATAATAGAATCAGAGGTATGGAAGGGGAGTGAACTGACTATTCTTGGGGAAAAGGGGAGAGGGGAGGTGTGGGAAGAGACTGAACATAAAGTGTGCACCTATGGATGAGGACAATGGGGGGTGGGGAAAGGGCAGAGGGTGGGGTGGGAACTTGGTGGAGGAGAGCAATGGACCGGGAGTGGAAATGAGGAACATTTGTAATAATATGAACAATAAAGATTAAAAAAAAAGAATATTTCTTCTAATTAATTTCCTTTCAATGAGCACAAATCCATCCACTGGGCCACTTGTAGTATCTATGAAAAAAGAACAATCTGAGATAAAGAATGACATAACACAAATAAAGAACACATTGGAAAGAATACACATCAGATTAGGGGAAGTTGAGGATTGAATCGGTGAATTAGAATAGAGAGTTGAAAATAATCAATAATAAAACTAAAAAGAAAAAATAATTAAAAACAAAAGGACAGGGCAGGGGGCCCAGCGGCGGGCGGCGGTCACCCAGTGGCGGGGCCGAGGGGCTCCCAAGATGGCGGAGGGCGGCTCGGGCCGGGGCGCCTCCATGGGGGACTGCCTGGAGATCAAGTCCCAGCTCCGCACCCGCCAGGGCTTCTACAAGCTGCTCCCCAGAGACGGCGCTTCTCGTCTCAACAAGCCAATCGACAAGCGGATCTATAGGGGCGCCCAGACCACCTGCCACAGAGACCATCTCCCTGCTGGTGGGCTTCTCCGCCGGCCAGGTGCAGTGCCTGGGTCTCATCAAGAAGGACACCAGCAAGCTGTTCAGCGAAGAGCAGCTGGTTGACAAGACTAAGGCGACACACCCGAAGTGGCTGCTGGAATCGGAGAGCCTGTTCCTGGCATCGCACGCCAGCGGCCGCCTGTACCTATACAACGTCAGCCACCCGTGCGCGTCCGCAACCACCTCCCCCCCCACCCTCACCCAGTACAACCTGCTGAACCAGGGGGAGGGCTTCGCCGTACTCGCCAAGAACAAGGCACCCCCCAACCCGCTGGTCAAGTGGGCGGTGGGCGAGGGGCCCCTCAATGAGTTTGCCTTCTCGCCGGACGGCAGGCACCTGGCCTGCGTCAGCCAGGACGGCTGCCTGACCGTCTTTCACTTTGACTCCAAGCTCCTGCGGGGGCTCATGAAGAGCTACTTTGGGAGCCTGCTCTGCGTGTGCTGGAGCCCCGACGGGCGCTATGTGGTGACAGGAGGGGAGGATGACCTGGTCACCGTGTGGTCCTTCTCTGAGGGCCACGTGGTGGCCTGCGGCCACGGCCACAAGTCTTGGGTCAATGCCGTGGCCTTCGACCCCTACACAACAAGAGCCGAGGAGGCGACGACAGCCAGCGGCGATGCTGAACGCAGTGTGGAGGAGGAGCCCGAGGTGGCCGGCCCAGGCTCCAAGGGGGAAGAGCCGCTCTCCACAATGCCCAAGGCCGGCTCCATCACTTACCGCTTCAGCTCGGCCGGCCAGGACACACAGTTTTGCCTGTGGCACCTCACCGAAGACGTGCTCTCCCCACACCCGCCCCTGGCCCGCAACCGCATGCTCCCTGGCACTCCTAGCACCACACCGCCCGCTGCCAGCAGCTCCCGGGGTGGCAAGCCCAGCCTCGGGTGCCTGCCCTGCTCACTGTCCCGCTCCAACAGCCTCCCACACCCAGCGGGCAGTGGCAAGGTGGGTGGCCCAGGCACAGTGACGGAGCTGGGCACTCCGTTTAGCATCGGCCGCTTTGCCATGCTCACGCTGCAGGAACAGAGGGACTGGGGGGCAGAGGAGCACAAGCGCTACTACAGCCTGGGCAACATGGGGCGGGGGGGAGAGGGGGGGCCATGGGGGGACAGCAGCGGGGACAAGCCCAATGGCACTGGTCCTCACAGCCGTCTGGACCCAGCCAAGGTGCTGGGTATGGCATTGTGCCCGCGCATCTACGAGGTGCCCCAGCCAGCCCCTGGTGTGCAAGATGATTGCCCAAAAGCAGCTGAAAGTCCTCCGTTCCTGGAGGACTGCATCATCACCGTCTGCCAGGAGGGCCTCATCTACATCTGGGCCCCGCCAGGCAAGGCAGGCATCTCCTCCCAACCAGGCAACTCCCCAAGTGGCACCTTGGTGTAAAGCCCTGGATGCTGGGTTCCTTGCCCCACCTCGCTGCCCAGCCATAACCCTCCGCTGACCTCACGGATTAACCTATTAACAAGACTATTATATGACGGATGGGCTGCTCCGGCCCCCCACCCTGCACAAATTTGGGGGGCAGAGTGTCCCCCCCAGGCTGGCCTCAGCCTTGTCCCCACCCACTGCCAAGTACAACGACCCCTTCCGCTGAAACATCAGTGTTAGCCTCATCCCTGTCCCCAGCATGTGTCTGGTCGTAGTTGGGGACGGAGAAGCTCCCCGCCCACAAGACCCCAGCTCTGCAGTGTGCCCCTCAGTCTGCGGGCAGGGCAGGGCAGCCTGCCCCTCCCGACCCCAAGCTCCATTTCCCCTGCTGGTGTTCGTGCTTTTGGAAAGTGTTAAGTTATGGAAGCCATTTGGGGTCCTTCCTGTCCCCAGCACCTCTTATTTATACTAAAGTTCCTGTTTTCAAAAAAACAAAACAAAAAAAAACAAGAGGACAACTTAAGGGAGCTGTGGGATAATGTGAATTGTAATAATATTAGAATAGTGGGTGTGTCAGAAGAGGCAGAAAGGAAGAAAGGAATAGAGAAAGTGTTTGAAGAAATAATGGTAGAAAACGTCCCTAACCTGGTAAAGAAAAAGTCACACAAGTTCAGAAGGCGCAGAGAACCTCAAACAAGAACACAAACAGACCCATGCTTAGACACATCATAATTAAAATGCCAAAAATTAAAGACAGAGAATCTTAAAGACAGCAAGAGAAAAGAAAACTGTTACCTACAAGGAGTTCCCATAAGGCTGACACTTGATTTCTCATCAGAAGCTCTACAGGCCAGAATCCAGGAAGATGGCTGCAGACGGGAAGGCAGACTGCAAGATAGTGTGTGAGTGAGAAAACAAAGGGAGAGTATGTGATCGCACGGAGAGTGTATGTTGGTGAGTTGAGGGACAGCTATACTCCAGGAGACTATGTGGGACTGTCGGATGGGGCTCCCCTGACTGGGCAGCCCCCACTGCTGCTGACTTCCCTCCTGGAGCAACTGGCTCGAACCTAGAGACCGCACCATCTTGAAGGAAAACTGGATGCTATCGGAAGCCTGAAAAGCCCAGGGAATCTACAACTACAACACCCATGGAACAGCTGAGAACCTGAAAACACCGGTTCCCAAGTGGCGCAAGCACACAGATTCAGAGGAGCTCTATACTCCATCATGGAAAGGTCAGATTTTGCCTGGGATAAGGTGAGGTCTGTGGTCCCGGCAGGAGAGAGAAACACGCACACAGGAGCTGGAGACCTGGGAAAGTCTGTACCAAGAAAAATCCGTGGCTATTTGGGCTGGCATGGTCCATGAATGTGGAAGGAGGTCCACAGAGCTGACAGAAGGGAATTCTAAAAAAACAACCCATTTTTATATGGGTGTAAAGGACAGCCTAAGAAATTTTTAAAGTGTGCCGGCTGCTTAGACCCAAGGGGAAAAAAGGCTGCACAGACTTGCTCACAGCCCAGGAGTTCGCACACTTAACTCTGGCTCTTTTTCCCCTTCTTTAAATCCTTGCTTCTGATTACTAAGCCCAAAGCATAGGATCACCCAATTGGGGACACCCTAAGAGACTGTAGGGGAAAGCTGTTTTTCTGGAATCTGGGGATAAGAGCAGGGAATAACCATCAGAGAACCAGGTCTGGGGCAACCCACTCCCACACACCAGTATTAAGTGCCACAGGGAAAACAAATTCTAAACACTAGCTAGAGAGGACCCATAGACCCAGAGGTCAATCCAGAAACACTGCCACTCTGGGATTGAATCACAAATTGACTCTGTGTAAACACAAATAAACTGCCTGCTTAAAAAACAGGACTGGCTTACAACACTGAGTAGCAGTGGAATGCAGGGAACTTCAATTCTGTCCTGACTAGGAAATAGGCGTGCCAAACAGAACAGTAGAGGAAGTGAATGACCTTCACTACTGCACTTTTATTTTTATTTTTTTCATCTTTTACTTAAGAAACTATATTTTTTCTTTTTTCTCACTTGATTTTTACCTTTTTACTTATTACATTTTTTTTAATTTTCAATCAGTATTATTGCTACTACTATTTTACCTTTTCTTTTTTTTAAAAAAAGTATTTTATTTTCTCTTTATTTTACTTTGGAATTAGTGTTCTATATTGTATTTTCATCTTTCCTTTAGCATCATTTTACTCTATCTCAACTTTACCTTTATGCCAACACACTCTTCCTCACTTTTCCCCTTTTGTTACCCTGTTTCTCTTACTGAATTTCTGCTTTAGATTTTCCCTATTCCTTCTTTTTATCCGTTAAAATTTCACACTACAATATCCTCAAATCACATAAACAAATTGGGAGATAAAACTCACATGGTCATATCAATTGATGTAGAAAAAGCATTTTACAAAATCCAACACCCTTTCCTGAATAAAAATTCTCAACAAGGTGGGAATAGAAGGATCATACCTCAACATAATAAAAGCTATATATGTTATATCCACAGCTAACATCATACTCAATGGGCAAAAACTAAAACCATTTCCTCTAAGAACAGGAACAAGACAGGGATGCCACTCTCACCACTCCTGTTTGACATAGTACTGGAAGTACTACCCATTGCAATTAGACAAGAAGAGGATATAAAAGGCATCCAAATTAGAAAAGAAGAAGTAGCTGAAACCGGTTTGGCTCAGTGGTAGAGCATCGGTCTTTGGACTGAAAGGTCCCAGGTTCGATTCCGGTCAAGGGCATGTACATTGGTTGCGGGCACATCCTCGGTAGGGAGTGTGCAAGAGGCAGCTGGTCGATGTTTCTCTCTCATCGACGTTTCTAACTCTCTCTTCCTCTCCCTTCCTCTCTGTAAAAAATCAATAAAATATATATTTTAAAAAAAGAAAGAAAAAAGAAAAGAAGAAGTAAAATTGTCCTTATTTGCAGATGACATGATATTGTTCATAGTAAACCCAAAAGACTCCATAAAATAATTAATAGATTTAATAAATTAATTTGGCAATGTAGCAGCATACAAAATTAACTCCAAAAAAATCTATGGCCTTTCTATACACCAATAGAGAACTTACAGAAACAAAGACTAAAACAGCAATGCTATTTACCATCGCACCAAAAAAATTAAGTTACCTAGGAATAAACTTAACCAAGGAGGTAAAAGACCTATAGGCAGAAAACTACAGGACACTGAAAAAAAGAGATAAAGAAATATGTAAACAGATGGAAAAACATACCATGTTAGTGAATTGGTAGAATCAACATCATTAAAATATCCATACTACCCAAAGTAATCTATAGGTTCAATGTACTCCCCATTAAAATACCAACAGCATATTTAACAGACCTAGAAAGAACTCTCCAAAAATTCATCTGGAATAAAAATTTTAAAAAAGACCTCGAATAGCCACAGAAATCCTGAGAAAGAAGAATAAAGTAGGAGGGGCCAGATTTCAAGCTGTATTACAAAGCCACTGTTCTCAAAACAGCCTGGTACTGGCACAAGAACAGACATATAAATCAATGGAATAGAATAGAGAATCCAGATATCGACCCAAATCACTATGTTCAATTAATATTTGACAAAGGATCATGAACATACAATGGAGTCAAGACAGTCTCTTCAATAAATGGTGTTGGGAAAATTGGACAGATACATGCAAAAAAAATGAAACTAGATCACCAACTTACACCATTCACAAAAATAAACTCAAAATGGATACAAGACTTAAACATAAGACAGGAAACCATAAAAATACTAGAGGAATCCACAGGCAGCAAAATCTCAGACATATGCCAAAAGAACTTCTTCACTGATACTGCCTCTAAGGCAATGGAAGCTAAAGAGAAAATAAACAAATGGGACTACATCAAAATAAAAAGCTTTTTTACAGCAAAAGAAACCATCAACAAAACAACAAGAAAGCCCACTGTGTGGGAGAACATATTTGCAAATGTTATCACTGATAAAAGTTTAATCTCCAACATCTACAGGCAACTTATACAACTTAATAAAAAGAAGATAAATGATCCAATAAAAAAAATAGGCAATGGACTTAAATAGAATCTTTTCAAAAGAAGACAGAAGGAAGGCCAAGAGACACATGAAAACATGCTCAAAGTCACTAATCTTCCAAGAGATGCAAATCAAAACGACGATGTGGTACCATCTCACACTGGCCAGAATGGCTAACATCAACAAATCAACAAAAGATAAGTGTTGGCAAGGATGTAGAGAAAAAGGAACACTCGTGCAGGGCTGGTGGGAATGCAGACTGGTGCAGCCACTGTGGAGGACAGAATGGAGTTTCCTCAAAAAACTGAAAATGGAACTGCCATTTGACCCAGTAATCCCACTCCTAGGAATATATCTTAAGAACTGGAAACACCAATAAGAAAGGATATATGCACCCCTATGTTCATAGCAGCACAATTTACAAAGCTAAGATTTGGAAACAGCCTAGGTGCCTGTCAGCAGATGACTTGATCAGAAAACTATGATACATCTACACAATGGAATACTATGCTGTCATAAAAAAGGAATTCTTACCATTTGCAGCAAACTGGATGGAATTGGAGAACATTATGCTAAGTGAAATAAGCCAATCAATGAAAGAAAAATACCACATGATCTCACTCATTTATGGATAATAAAAAAAAATTATAAACTGTTGAACAAAAAGATAGATACAGAGACAGTAAAACATCAAACAGAATGTCAAATTACAGTGGGAAGGGTAGGGAGATATGGGGGAGATAAGAGATCAACCAAAAGACTTGTGTGCATGCATATAAGCATAACCAATGGACGCAAAACTCTGGGAAGTGAGAGCATGTATGGGAGTGGGGTGGGGGGTCAATGGTAAGATATGTACACTTATAATACCTTAATTTAAAAAAATGAAAAAAATAAATAAAAAGCTTCTGAATGGTAAAAGAAACCACCAGCAAGAAAGCCATTGCATGGAATGACATTTGCCAATGTTATCTCTGATAAGGGTTTAATCTCCAAATTTACATGGAACTCATACAACTTAACAAATGGAAGATAAACAACCCAATAAAAAAATTAGCAAAGGATTTCAATAGACACTTTTCAAAACAGGACCTACAGAAGGCCAAGAGACATATGAAAACATTCTCAAAGTTACTAATCATCCGAAAGATGCAAATCAAAATGACAATAGGTACCATCTCACACCTGTCAGAATGGGTATCATCCACAAATCAACAAACGACAAGTGCTGGTGAAAATGTGAAGAAAAAGGAACCCTCGTGCACTGCTGGTGGGAATGCAGACTGGTGCAACCACTGTAGAAAACAGGATGGAGTTTCCTCAAAAAATTAAAAATGGAATTCCCATTTGACTCAGTGATTCCACTTCTAGGAATATATCATGAGAAACCAGAAACACCAACAGAAGGGATGCATGCACCCCTATGTTCATAGCAGCACAATTCACCATAGCTAAGATTTGG